CCCGTCTTCGGGCTGGATAATAAGAGGTGGTGGAGCTAATGAATTAATCCACTCCAATAGATGAGAAGAAATGAACAATGTATTTCTGTGTATAATGAGTGAGGATATATGAGAACTATATTTCATCGCGTGTTAATTTCTTCATTATTTGCACACACACATTACATCATAAATGCACAAATAATTAATCGTTAACTTTCGTAACATTAGTAGCCCAACTTGTTTTAAAAGTAGCCTAAAGAGTCGCACGTAGCAAAATTTGAAATTTCGTACCGCCAGGCTTTCAAAAGTTACCCAGTTCGTCCAATATAGTAAAACTGCAACCAATTCATCTATGCTGTGACCAGCTGTGCTACAACGAATAACAGGGATGAGTTGAACTTATTGATGCTTTACACCACTCGTTTAATGATTAATATCCAGGGCCCAGGAGCTGAACCTTACTCCCGCAAGCATATATATGTTAGTATACACATGCATGCCCTCCCCCCAACACACACACATACATTCTCAACTCTCAGGGGAATTGACAGGGTAGACACGAATGGATTATTTAACACGGGTGGTACACGCACAAGGGGACACAGGTAGAAGCTGAGTAACCAGATGAGCCACAGAGACGTTAGAATGAACTTTTTCAGTGTCAGAGTAGATAACAAATAGAATCCATTAGGCAGTGATGTGGTGGAAGCTGACTCCATACACAGTTTCAAATGTAGATATGATAGAGCCCAGTAGGCTCAGGAACTTGTACACCAGATGATTGACAGTTGAGAGGCGGGACCAAAGAGCTAGAGCTCAACCCCCGCAAGCACAACTAGGTGAGTACAACTAGGTGAGTACACACACACACTAACAAACACACGCACACACCAGCAAACACACTCACACACACCAGCAAACACACTCACACACACCAGCAAACACACTCACACACACCAGCAAAACCACACACACACACACACACACCAGCAAACACCACACACACACCAGCAAACACACCACCACACACCAGCAAACACCTCACACACACCAGCAAACACACTCCACACACCAGCAAACACACTCACACACACCAGCAAACACACTCACACACACCAGCAAACACACCACACACCACAAACACAAACCACACACACACAAACACCGCCACACACCAGCAAACACCACCACACACCACACACCAGCAAACACCACCACACACCAGCAAACACACTCCACACACCAGCAAACACACACCACACACCAGCAAACACACTCCACACACCAGCAAACACACGCCACACACCAGCAAACACCGCCACACACCAGCAAACACCGCCACACACCAGCAAACACACACACACACCAGCACACACAGCCACACACCAACAAACACCAACACACACCAGCAAACACACACCACACACCAGCAAACACCACCACACACCAGCAAACACCACCACACACCAGCAAACACACTCACCACACACCAGCAAACACACCACACACACAACACACACACACACACACCAGCAAACACCACACACACACCAGCAAACACCACCACACACCAGCAAACACCGCCACACACCAGCAAACACCGCCACACACACCAGCAAACACCTCACACACACCAGCACACACACACACACACACCAGCACACACACTCACACACACCAGCAAACACACTCACACACACCAGCAAACACACTCACACACACCAGCAAACACACTCACACACACCAGCAAACACACTCACACACACCAGCAAACACACACACACACACCAGCAAACACACACACACACACACACCAGCAAACACACTCACACACACCAGCAAACACACTCACACAGACCAGCAAACACACTCACACACCAGCAAACACACGCACACACACCAGCAAACACACACACAAACACACTCACACAGACCAGCAAACACACACAGACCAGCAAACACACACACAAACACACACCAGCAAACACACACACAAACACACACCAGCAAACACACTCACACAGACCAGCAAACACACTCACACACACCAGCAAACACACTCACACACACCAGCAAACACACGCACACACACCAGCAAACACACAAACACACACCAGCAAACACACGCACACACACCAGCAAACACACAAACACACACCAGCAAACACACTCACACAAACCAGCAAACACACTCACACAGACCAGCAAACACACACACAAACACACACCAGCAAACACACACACAAACACACACCAGCAAACACACTCACACAGACCAGCAAACACACTCACACAGACCAGCAAACACACACACAAACACACACCAGCAAACACACACACAAACACACACCAGCAAACACACTCACACACACCAGCAAACACACTCACACACACCAGCAAACACACTCACACACACCAGCAAACACACTCACACACACCAGCAAACACACACACAAACACACACCAGCAAACACACACACAAACACACACCAGCAAACACACACACAAACACACACCAGCAAACACACTCACACACACCAGCAAACACACTCACACACACCAGCAAATACACTCACACACACCAGCAAACACACTCACACACACAAGCAAACACACTCACACACACCAGCAAACACACTCACACACACCAGCAAACACACGCACACACACCAGCAAACACACAAACACACACCAGCAAACACACACACAAACACACACCAGCAAACACACTCACACACACCAGCAAACACACTCACACACACCAGCAAACACACGCCACACACCAGCAAACACACGCACACACACCAGCAAACACACACACACACACCAGCAAACACACTCACACACACCAGCAAACACCACACACACACCAGCAAACACACGCACACACACCAGCAAACACAACACACACACCAGCAAACACACCCACACACACCAGCAAACACACCACACACACACCAGCAAACACACAAACACACACCAGCAAACACACCACCACACACCAGCAAACACCACACACACACCAGCAAACACACGCACACACACCAGCAAACACACACACACACACCAACAAACACACGCACACACACCAGCAAACACACACACACCAGCAAACACACTCACACACACCAGCAAACACACTCACACACACCAGCAAACACACGCACACACACCAGCAAACACACGCACACACACCAGCAAACACACACACAAACACACACCAGCAAACACACTCACACACACCAGCAAACACACTCACACACACCAGCAAACACACTCACACACACCAGCAAACACACACACACACACCACACCAGCAGCACACACTCACACACACCAGCACACACACGCACACACACCAGCAAACACACTCACACACACCAGCAAACACACACACACACACCAGCAAACACACTCACACACACCAGCAAACACACTCACACACACCAGCAAACACTCACACACACCAACAAACACACACAGACAAGCAAACACACTCACACACACCAGCAAACACACTCACACACACTGATTGCGTACTGTGTTAGACAGGAAAGAATATTACAGCAGTATGACCTAAGCCAAGCAGAGCGAGACGCCAGGGGGAGTCCCCGCTAGCGGAGTGAATGTTGGAGCCATGAGGCTGCCCTTCCCTCCCTCTCTCTCCCTCCCTCCCTCCATCAACATGTCTTCATAAACTTTATCTAGATACATCAAGAGGTGTATTTATTTAACCTCACTCACCATTTTGATCAAAATTACTGCGCCTTACAGCCTCACTTCCGACCTCTTTGATCACTGTTCTATTTTAGTGTACTCACGGGCCAAGTTGCCGACTAGGTAATAAAAAGCTATACACAGTTGCTGAGAATTGCTATAATCTGCCAAGGGACTCCACTGCAATTCAGAGGCGCTCGGAAAAACACTTTTGAGGTGTCTCCCGCGAGGTGACGTAGAGTAAATGGCATCGTTTGTATTTCTATCACCATTATCAATACTCAAGATAAATAAAAACAGAGACCTTGGTGAACGCAAGCTGTTGCCACTTCGGGGATAATTTCCCAACGTCGGTAGCGCCAAGTTAACGCTATATTAGCATTTGATTTAGTTTGAAATAGCGTCTTTCCGCTACAAAATATTACGCAGCTGGTAATGGCCATGTGAAAAAGTCACAATTTGATTTGCTGGCTTTGATAAATGTATATATAAATGAGTGACTGTGGAACTTGGCCGTTTTCCAGGGGATTTACCTCTGGTCGCGCGCAGGATCGAGCGAGTTTCATTATTTTGTGTCAGTAGTGTTAAGTTTGCAAACCCTACGAACAGCCGTTTAGATATGGCATAGCCATCGGTAAGGCCGCCCAAATACCACAGTTCAATGACATTCAAGGCCACGGGGAGGAAGCGTATTGAATAAGCTTGCCGTCAGCGAGGGGGTGGTGGTGGTGGTACCCCCGGACCACCATGAAACCCACGTGTTGTTGATGTTCCTTGACGCCTCGCGACGGACTACTCCGGGTTTGACACGGAATAAATTCACTCTAGTCGAGTGATTTGTGGAGTGCACCAAGCTTACACTTGTGGTATACTGAGTGGATGGTGAGGATGGTGCAGGTGGCCTCACCGTGCTGGAGGACAGTGTGGGCGGCAGTGAAAGTTTATATCATGATGAGTGTATACAACAATTCCTGATATGTGTACCGTAATTATTCCAACACTGGTACTGTGGAGGCTAAAGTTAATATATGCATTACACGCTGATCAAAGTCAATGTTCAGTCAGATAAAACATGCCCCAAGTATATTTTAAATGTACGTATTATTATACACAGTACACAGTGCTTTAATTTTGTGATGTTTAATATGCAAAATTTGGGGACATTTGCTTTTGAATTATGTATGTAGGCTTCTTGCTTAGACCGTGTTGACCAGATGTGTGGCAGCATACGACTGGTGATTATATATTCTTGCCGAGGCTAATTGACAAGTCTGTATTGGCGGTCACGCCTACTGGTTACC